AGAGAGAGAGAGAGAGAGAGAGAGAGAGAGAGAAAGTCTAGTTCAGTAGGCCGGATCCAATATGATAGTTGTGTGAGTGGAAAGAAGGGGACACACAGAAAAAATGTGGTGGAGGTATAGAAGACTTGACAACTGATTGGATCTGTGTGGTGATCAAGGGAAAGGAGGGAAGAAAATATCCAGATTGTTTACCTCCACGACTGCAAGGACGATAGTAAAAAAGAAGGCCAGAGGAGAGTTATACTTGGGATAATAAGTTCTCTTTTGGCCATGATGAGTTTGAGGTATCTATGGAACATCAAGCTGGAAACGTATAGTAGGCACATAGTAATGCGGATCTGGTAAATTTAAGCAGAAAAGATTAGGGCTGGCTGGATAAATAGACATGGGAATCAATTTCTAAGAAATAAATCTAGAAAGGTAAACTGAAGACAGATTCTGAAGGGTTTTATATGTCAAACAGTAGTGTGTTTTATTCTAGAGAACACTGGAGCTTCATGAGCAGGGGATGATGTGGTCACTCATACTTTAGGAACACAAATTTGGCAAGCATATGGAGGGTGACTGAAGAGAAGAGAAATCTAGGACACATAGACCAATCAGGAGGCTACTGCAATAGTCTAAGTAAATGGTAATGAGGGTCTGAATTAGGGTGGCGACTGTATGAATGGAAAGTTGAAAAAAACAAGAGACATTATAAAGACAGACAAGATTTAGCAATTTAGGTCTGTACAGTGGAGAATAAAAAAAAATGGAAAGTTAAAGATAATTCTGAGGTTACAAACCAGAATGTTGATAATGTGGAAGAATGTTGGTAATGTCAAAAAAATCAAAAAAAGTTAGGGAAGATGAATGCATTTATAAGGAAAGACCAAGTTGCATTTTGGACACATTTAGCTTTTGATACATATGGGACATCCAAGTAGAGTGGCTCTGCAGGCAGTTGGTGACAGAAGATTGCAGCTGAGGGCAGAGATTTAGATTAGATCTGAGAGTCACCTGCATAGAGATGGTTACTGAACCCATGAGAGTTAACAGGACACAGAGAGAAGGAAAAAGGCCCAGGACAAATCCCTAAAGAAAAACTGCTACTTAGGGGACAGGAGATGGATAATGAGTCAATAAAATAGACTAAGAAATGGCCAGAGATAGAAAGAGAACAAGAGTAATTTCATAAAAATTTCATTAGAAGAGTAATTTCATAAAATAGTATCCAGAAGGAAGGGGGTAGTAAACAGTATAAAAGGATAACAAGGAAGTCATTATGAATAAGGACTGAAAAGGACCATTTGATTTAGCAATTAAGAAATCATTAATGATCTTGGAGACAGTAGTTTTAGATGAGTGAGAAGGGGATTGAGAAAAGAGAAGAAATAGAGGCAATAAAATATAAAGGGCTTTCCTTGGAGTTTGGCTGTGAAAGGAAAGAGATAAAAAGTATTACAGGGTTGAGTGAAGCTGGGTTTTTTGGTTTTTGTTTTTTAAGATAGGTGATCTTGTGTTGGTAGACAGCAGTAAAAGAACTAGTAGAAATACAACATTAGGGATGGGAAGGGATAACTGAGGTGCCTGGCTGCCAGGAAGGACAACTGGGGTGATATCAAGGGCACAAACAGAGGAAATGGCCTTTACCAACAGACACAAAAATATCTTCATTGACCTCTTGGCAAAAAATGGAGCAAAAGAGAGGTGAATATTCAATACCTGTACTTTTCCACTATGTTTCAGCCACCAATGAAACCCTTAGGTATAATGATTTCTCTTAAAAGCTTGTCTTCTAAATGATCTGCTAGATTAACTTTATTATTATATAAATACCTTATTTTTTTGCAAAAATACCTTAAATTAGAATGAAATTCAACTTTTATATCCGATTTACAATCTGATGCTTCTACAGAAATTTTCTATTAGAATACACAAAGTGGTTTTATAAAATCTGGTTCACTATATTTAAATAAAATGAAAATAACAACAACATTTGGCCTTCAACACCCCTGCATTCTAACCTAGGCCCTCAATTAAAGCCTGTATTCATGTATACATAATCAAATATATATATTTTTAAAACTTGAGGATTCTCCTGAAGATTGTTCAAATTGTGCTACAGAACAGAAACTATAATTGAATGATTCTACAAATTGCTTAATCTCTCATTTCTGCAGACTCAAGGGTTATATGACAAGCCAACAGCAGATTTTTGATAAAAATGGTGGTCAATAGCCTGAGATGTGTTTTAAATCACATTTTTATAAATAATATAATTGAGAATTTTTTTCAAATCACAGATAATCCATTACCAGGACATGATTGCTATTGCAAACTAAAAGCAGTTACCAAAGCATTCTTCTAAGCCAGCAACTTTCTATTTGTGAGACATGAGAGCATTCAATCTCCCACTTCAGCTTCCATTTTATTTATTTTAAGAACATAGGATCCATGCAAGGGGTTCTTCAGCATAGTTATTTATTGTATGACATAGCAGTGGCTGCTTCAAAAATCACAGATATATTCAAACATGTCAGTTTATCGCAGAATTAAAAACCAAGTTTCTTGACCATGTTCAAAATATATATGCATCAGTAATAATAAACACATAAGTTAGTTCTTTTAATTAAGTTATGCCAATAAGCTTTATTTCATTAAGTACTTCATACTTCTAACTGAAAAGTCAAGTTAGCATTCTAGGAAAAAAACACAGAAAAAATATTTAAACATTAATCTAATCCAAAAGAGATGGATACTAAAGGAACAGCAGGCAGATATAACAAACTGTCTAAGAGGAGAAGCAGTCATCTATTCTGCCAATTGAGAAACCCTTAGTGAAGGATGAGCTGCCATGTTCAATTCACACATTTAGAATCTTACTCCAAACCCTGCACAGAGCAGATATTGAGCAAAACAAACTGTCTGGCATGTTGCTACATGGCATGCTCCTACAGTGAACTGTGGTCCCCATGATTAAGCCGATGCCAACATATAAAACATCCCATCAGGTCCCAAAAGGGAACAATGAGTCTAATGCATTGGGTATAACTCAAAGGAAAAATAGAAGTCCAATTTTTCAGTTGTTCCCACTCTAAACACGGGCTTGCATTTTTTATATATTGTTCACAATATAGTATTTAAAAAGCATTTGCAGTCAAAATTGATCTTTAAGACATTTCTTAATCTTTGGCTACTTAATATTTAAGCCTAACAATAAATGCCCAAATTTGATATCTCTAAAATAATTTTTGATGAATGTTATTTTTCCAGTAAAACAGTACTTTTAAGAAATTTGTGAACTTTTTCTGAAATCTGCTTTTATGTAAATGTTTGAAATTTTCTAAGTTTTCCACAATGTAACCAATTAAATGATTATTTTTTTTTAAGTTGAGCACTGGGGGTTAAGTGACTTGCCCAGGGTCACACAGCTAGTTAAGTGTTATGTGTCTGAGGCCACAATTGAACTCAGGTCCTCCTGAATCCAGGGCCGGTGCTCTACCCACTGCGCCACCTAGCTGCCCCCCCAATTAAATTATTTTAAAAAATAATTTTTAAAAAGCAACAGATGACATACACACAAAGACACTTTTAGTTAACAAATATTATCTCAATATCTCAACACTGTTTGAACTCTTAGTACTTCTGCTAGGGAGAAAAAGTAAATATGCCTTTGGAAAAAAGATTATGAGGTTCAGGAGATATGTTTCACTCAGGGTTTTTAAATCACTTGGTATTCTATAGTGACATTTAAAACTTAATGTGTGTAAAACTTTGTTGGAATTAACAGTAAAACTGTTTTTCTAATCAGCTTTTCTAATCCTATTCATTCTCTCAAAAGAAATAAAACAAGTCACTGAATAAACAATGGAAAAAAGACAAATCATCGATGTTATTTAAATGTTCAAGATCTAAAAATATTTTGCAGCAGTCCTAATAAACTGCTACTCCTATTTTTTCATCTGTTTTCACAGAAATCTACATTAAATTTGCTGAAGAAAAAATACTCTTCTTAGCTTCATTTTGTAAAGGAACATATAGAATATAAGGTTCTAATTAGGATGGAGAAGAGATTTTCAGCTAGATAAGAACAGTTTGGATATAATATGGGTAGATAAAGCCATCTTACTCTTCAATCAAGAGTATTTCCCTAGAATATAAGTAGAATAAGACAGAACTTATATTAAATAATATTTGCAAATAGCAAAGAGATTTTGCTCCCCAAAAACTATGAAAAGGGAAGGGAGTTGAAATACATGAAAAGATATTGATCTAATATTATTCTTTGTCCCAAATTTAAATATAATTTGAAATCTGTAATTGCTGTAGACTAATTTTTGGATACAGATTTTAAAATATGTAAGAATCCAAAATTCTGCAGGAAAAGAAAGGATTATTTTTAGAAGACTTTTATATTATATAATATAAATTCTTTGAATACACATATTACATAAATTAACATGACTTTCCCCCAAGTAATTAGTCTGTAATCCTATGAACTTTCAAAAAGAAATTTTTAGAAACAAACCTCTTAACAGCATCCTTCTTCTGAATATCTATTCCATCCCACCATTTTGAAAAATAAGAGATTTCAGACCACATAAATTTTCTCCTTCTGTCTTCATTCAGCTTTACCACCATGTTATTAAGAATATGCTGGGTCTGGTCTCTAAAGTAGTCATTGAAAGTCTTTAGCCAACCTAAATTGAGACACAAATATACCACACAAATCTGGTTTCAGTTAAATCACATTATTTTAGCTCTGAAGGAAATCTTTTATAAGTTTTCAATGCAAAAAGGTTACATAATTTAAAATTTTTTAAATAGTTTCTAACTGCTAAGATTAAATGTGATAATGGACGAAAAGGCAAATATATAGCTTGGAAATGACACAAATCATTTCTTAAAATAAATATTAAAATGAGATGCATAATTTAAAGACTAGTCAAAAACAATACAATGTAATTACTCTATCTGGTCCTGTTATTTCTAAGTTATTGACAGTACTTTTTTCCTATTTTGAAAATTCGAGTACCATAAAGAATCAGCAGTATTGATTTAACAGACTTGGGTAGACATTTCATTCTTTCCCTCCGCCAAGTAGCACCTAAACTGCCATGCTCCATATGGTATTACATTAATCAAATAAATGAGACAGAACATAAAGTAGAATCTTTGTTCTGCCATATAAAAAACTCATTTAAAAGATTATTATTTTATAAATCAAATTATACTGTTTGCAAAGAAAATAATGAGTAGCAAAGTGATTCTAAAGGGAATTTTTTTTGCTAGTTCAAACAGTGGCTTTTGAAGAGCACAATTAGTGGCAATCCTATATTCCTTTTGCTGAAAATGTGTGTGAATTTAACATAAATTCTTAAGTTTTACATTTTTCCAAGAGTTACTGATTATTTGGAACAGCAATTAGATTATTTTTTATAAATAAAAAAAAGTCTAGGGGCAGCTTGGCGGCTCAGTGGATAGAGCTCCAGTCTTGGAGTCAGGAGGACCTGAGTGCAAATTTGGCCTCGTGACCCTGGGAAAGTCATTTAACCCTGATTGCCTAACCAGAAAGAAAAAAAAAAGTCCATCTTGGACACATACAATTGGGTGGAGCCCTTAATCTGTGAAATGAATTACTGTAGCTAAATTTAAACTGATAATGTGGCATCTTAGATTTAAAGGTAGATGGGACCTTAGAGATCATGTATTCCAATGCCTTCATTTTACAAGTCCATAATTGAAGAATAATAACATTAAGGAATTTGCTCAAGGTCACACAGGTAGCAATAGTCAGATTTTGATTCCATAGCTCCAAATCTTGCATTCATTCTAATGAACCATCTCATGTTAGGGTAGATTGTGACCTTGTTCTCTCACCAAATTTTTTAAAATAGTGCTCTGAAGAAACTATCTTGGAGCCCAAGACTGCTGTCCTAAAATGGAAAAACTGGAAAAGGTACAGGACAGCTAGCATTTTTGCAGTACAGTATGGAGCCCTCTAAGGCCATGGGGATCCTCTGGGTCAGAATTTCTAGAATCCCTACTGGCAGAAAAACCCAGGACTATTCTAACCTAATAAGAATATTAGATCATCTTATCCAGTTGGTAATACTTTTACTCCTGCTGACTAATACTTACACTAATTTCTTTTAAAAAGTCTATTCCAAATCAAAGACTTTGGATTATGTTACGGTGTTACCTTTCACATGCAAGGTAATTCATGATACTTCACAGATTTGATATAAAAACCAAGTCTTCAAAAATTATAAATGTGAGAAAATCCCAAATCACTAACATCTAATTTTGATAAATGGCTTAGCTTTAAGACTAATCAAGTGCGATACAAATATTCAGCTATTAAACTACATAAATGCTATAAAAAAGACAACTATATAAATCAATCTAACACATGTTACCAAATGTTTCAACACAATTTATTATACTCCCTTTAGCCAAATAATTTATTGTACATGCTGCTAAGACACTAAAATATCCCTGGTTTTGTCAAAATAAACATTATTTGGGATTCTTCTTCAATCAAAGATTTTTCTAAATTGAAAGAGTTATACTGATTTGTTCCAAATATGGTTTTACACTATTTGGTTCAGTTTTCTTATATCATTAAATTTCCATTACAACCTTTTTTTTTAAAAAATCACTTTGCTACTCACAAAACTCACAAAAATTTTTAGCAGACATCAAACCTGATCTCTAATTCTTCTACCATCGGGTTCTTTAATAATATCATTAAATATGAGAACAAGCCAACCATGAATTCAAATTAAACTAAGCATTGAATTAAACATGAATTCAATTAAAAATGAGATCAAAATAGAGCAATATAAAGTGAATACAGAAGGAAGTCTTAAGATAACTGAAAAGTAAAAGCTATACAACAGTTTGTACTTTTCTCTAATATGTGGGTAATCTCTTCAAAACACAGACGTTGCATTTACCTGAGCTATAATTTTTTTATTAGCCAAGTCCTTTTCAGAGAATGGTTTGTGAAAGTTCTCAACAAAGAATAAAACCCAATGATTAATTCACTTTACTTTCAACATATTTGCTCTTCAGAAGTCAAACATTTCAAATATATTTCACCATCTTGCACAAACACATTTCCAATATATGTGAAACATAGATTTTTATTCAACTATGAAACTAGTCTGTAACTGACACTAATAGCCTCATCTTTTTTCATGTAGACTAATATGAAAATTATCTTTTATTGATCCTACACCATAACATAATCCAAAGTCTTTGATTTGGAATGGACTTTTTAAAAGAAATTAGTATAAAATTTCAACTCTGTATTAAAAAGAACCAACCCAAAAGGTGCTATTTTGTGAAAAAAACTGAATAAGTTTTTATGATATAAATTACATATGGTTCTTGACCAATGTTCAAACTATGGTTTGTTTGGGTTTTCTTTCCTTCTTACCACTGAAGAAAATGATTACCCTAATGGTAATGAAGCATTAGCAACATCTTCCCAAAATACCTTAACCAAATTATTCTACCATGGGGCATAAACTTCATACAGAGAAATCATTTTGGCAACTGAGGTGAGGATAAATTGGAAAAGAAACAACAATACATTAGTTGTTTTTGTTTTTCAGTCATGTCCAACTCTTTGTGAACTCATTTACGGTTTTCTTGGCAAAGATACTCTAATGGTTTGCCATTTCCTTCTCAGTTCATTTTACAGATGAGGAAACTGAGACAAACAGGGTTAAGTCACTTGCCCAGGGTAACACAGGTAATAAGTGTTTCAGGCCAGATTTGAACTCAGGAAGATGAGTCTTCCTGACTCTAGGACCAGCACGCCTAGCTGCACCACCTAGCTACACCTACAATAAATTAGATATATGGAGAAAATGAGAGGGAGAAGTAGAAAATGACAGCAACACTGTAAACCTAGGTCACTGGGAAGATGATGTGCCCTTATCATTAATAATAAGAACTAATATGTACAAAGCTTTCAGGTATACAAAGCACTTAATATATATTCTCACTTTTAACCTTACAACACCTCTGGAAAATAGGTGCTATTATTATCCCCACTTAATAGAGTAGCTAAGTAGTGCAGTAGATAAAATGTGTGGCCTGAAGTTAGGAAGACTTATCCTCCAGACTTCAAATCTGGCCTCAGGCACTTACTAGCTACATGACCCTGGGCAAGTCACTTAATGTTTGCCTCAGTTCCCTCATATGTAAAATGAGCTGGAGAAGGCAACAGTAAACCATTCCAGTGTCTTTGCCAAGAAAATCCCAAATGGGGTCACAAAGAGTTGGACGTAACTAAAAAACAAATGAACATTTTCCCTATTCACTTAAAAGTAATATGGGGCAGAGAAAGGTTAATCAACTTGGTCAAATTTGATGTGTCTGAGGCAGGATTTGAAGCTGGGTCTTCCTGACTCCAGATAAAGTATTTTATCCATATACCCTATGCCACCTACCTGATAAAGAAGTTCAGAAATGGTGAGGGTTTGGGGAAAACAATTATGAGTTCTATTTTGGATATGTTTAATTTGATATGCATTTGGGACATTCAGTTCAATATATCCAAAAAGCAGTTCACAACACACGGATGGAACTCAAGGGAGAAGTTGAGAACTATATTATCTGCACCACAGCAAAATGAATCCATGAGAACTGATGAAATCACCAAGCAAGACAGTATATCAAGAAAAGAGGGTCCAGGACCAAGGCGGGAGGGACATCAATGGTTAGTGTTGCATGGCAGCAGGCATGACTTGGATTCAGCAAAGTAGAATGAGAGGAAATAGTTGGACAATAGCTTATCAGGAGAGCGATGTCATGAAAACCTAGAGAAGAGAGAGTATCCAGGAGAAAATGATCAATTATCTTAAGTGCTGCAAAGCGATCAAGGAGAAAAAAAATGAGGATTTTGAGATAAGGCAATTACATTGGGCAAGTAAGTGACCAGTGGCCTATCTGACCAAAATGGCTGCCTAAATAGATGCAGACAGACCAGGTCCCCCACACCTACTCCAGGACAAAAAAAAAGAGCAACAGGCAAAATACTGACCATTAAATATAATAAGAAACTTACAGTAACTGACTATTTCCACACAGAAATATACATAAAGTTAGCGAGAAGTGACAGGAAATAAGAAAGCTAGCCACCAGCAAGGCAACGACTTCCCAAAAAGAGCAGAGACACATGTAGCCAGATACAAGAGGCAGTGCAACAAGAACGAAGTCCCTAAGTAAACAAGCATTCAACTGCCTACTCTGTTACAGGAACTGTGACAAGTGCTGGGGATATGCCAGGTGGGGGAGGGGGAGGGAGGGAGACAGTCTCTGTTTTCAAAAAACACACAATCTAATCGGGGAGAAAACATGGAAACAACTATGTACAAACAAGATATATATATAGATAGATATATATATGCACACACACACATATATATACACATATATATGTGTGTGCATGTGTGTGTGTATATATGTATGTGTGTGTGTGTATATGTATATACACACACACACACACAGGATGAATTGGAGATAATAAACAGCAGGAAAGCACTAGTATTGTGGAGGATCGAGAAAGGCTTCTTATAGAAGATAGGACCTGAGCTAGGACCTGCAGGAAGTCAGGGAAGGCAAGGGGCAGAGATGAGGAGGAAGAGAATTTCCAAATATGAGAGACAGTCTTTGAAAATGCCCA